GTGCCTCCTGCCCCCAGCCCTGCCCCCACCGGTCCCAGGCCCGGCCCGGCCTCTGGCACCGGCTCTATCAGGTTGTCAGGAGGGACAGCTGGCTTCTGTCCCCTGCAGCTCTGTCCCGGTTTTAAATAGCGTGTCTGCAGCTGGACCATCACATGGGCTTATATGGTGCTGAGCCCACGGCTGTCATGTTTTCCGATGGTCTTAGGCGACCCCTGTGAAAGGGTTGTTCGACCCCCAAAGGGGTCTCGACCCACAGGTTGAGAACCGCTGCCTTACCCCACTGGGGATGTGCCCGCAACCAAGGTACACGCCCTCAACCAGAATCGAACCTGGGACCTTTGAGTCCGAAGGCTGACGCTCTATCCACTGAGCCAAACCGGTTAGGGTAGCTTTTTATTTTGATGTGGTCCCCATCTACTTTGTTATTGGAGAATATTTTAAGATCTTCAGCCCAGCCAGCACGGCGTCCGCTCTGGGGACCGTGGGAGTGGACGGAGCTCCGTGTTCCCTCCACGAGGGGCCGGGCTTTGGAGGAGGTGACACGGGGATAGGGCTCCGGAGAGCCCGGCTGGGAGGTCCTTTCACGGGGTGTGAGCCCAGCTCGTGGTTAGAGGGTCACCCCTGAGTCTCGCTCCCCTTGTCCCCCCCAACGCGCCCGCAGAGAAATATCCCCTTGATTTTTCAGCTCCTCCTGCTCCGGCCAGCGGCCGGCGGAGAAAATATTTGGGGGAAGGGCTGCCAGGAGGGTCAGGAATTTCAACCACATTCCAGGCCCAGGGAGTCCCTCCTCTGACGCATCCTCTGGGGAGAGGGGTCCCCCCCCTGCCATGCCCTGCCCCCTGGCTCCCCTAGGGGCTGACAGCTGCAGGGAGGGATGTCCCAGCTGCGTCCCGGACAAGCGCTACATTCCTTAGAAGCTCAGCCGTTCTGCGGGATTAGAACTGGAAGCCCATTCATTTCACAGCCGGGTGGACGGAGGCCCAGAGAGGTTAAGGGGCTGAACTAAGGTCACACAGCAAAAACCTGGTTTTCAAAACCCGCATTTGGACCTCATGGCCAGTGGACCCTGATCTCTGGGCTGTGGGAGGAGGTGGGGCAGGTGGGGAGATGGGGGGGTGGGAGGAGAAGCTTTTTTGGAACATTATCACCCCTGCTGGGGGGCGGGCGGGGTTTTGATTGCCTCCTAAGCTGGAGCCCCCAGCTCAGCCTGCCCCAGCCTCTTCTTCAGTCTGGCCTGGGGGCAACGGGCCTGGTCTGAGAGCCCTCCCCCACCTTCCGGGGGCTGGCATGCTATTTTGGGGAGCCGGGTGGGGCTCCCAGGAGCGGGGAGGGCTCCCTCCTCCTCTCCACCCTAGGGCCAGTGGCTCCGAGCAGGTGGGAGGTGGGGCAGGAGAGGAGAGAGGAGCTGAGATCCCGTGCTCCAGGCTGGCCGTGCACAACCCCCTCCCTGAGGGGACCAACTCTGCCCAGCAGCCTCCCCAGCTCTAAGCCACCGGTCCGGCTGCTCCCCTGGTCCGGGCTGTGCTGTGGGCCACAGGCTCCCCACCGACCCTGGGGACTCCTCTCGGACAGTCAGTCATCCCAAGGACAAGCATTTGTGAGAAACAAGGCCGTGCAGGGTGGCTTTGCAGGGTCCCTGGTGGTAACATCTGGGCAGCAACAAGGCTGCAAGTCGCCCTTAGGATGTGGACACTGTGACGGCCGCCAGGCGGGTCCCCGGACCGAGGAGGGGGCTGAGCTGAGGCAGCCGGGTCCCCCCTTGGCCCACACTGACATCTTTCTGTTTGGGAGGGAGGGAGCGGCCATGTCTGACGCAGAAGAGGTGGAGGAGTACGAGGGGTGAGTGCCAGAGTATCCTGTCCCCTCCCTCCTGCCCTCTCCCACCTGTCCCTGTGCTGCCCCTGTCACCTATCCTTGGAGCCGCCCTGGGAGCAGGAGGGTGGGTGTGCGTGTGTGTGTGTGTGAGAGTGTGTGTGAGAGTGTGTGTGCGTGCACACATTCCTGACCGTGTCCCTCCACCCTGCAGGGAGCAGGAAGGTAAGCGCACGCCTGCACCCTCATTCGGGCGGATGGAGGCCGCCTGGTTTGAAACTGACCCGCCTCTTGTCCCCTTTCTTGTGGCCGTGACCTTGTCCGAGCAGAGGAAGCCGTGGAAGGTACGGGGCTTGGGCTGATGGAGGGGGGCAGGGGGAGCCCCAGGAGCCGAGATTTCCTGGGCGGCCTGTCCCTGTCCCTGTCCCTGTCCCCACCTCTCAGCTGAGCAAAGCCCTTCCCACAGCCCTGGCCCCTGCACAGGGTCGGCCCCGACCTTGGCCGCCCTGACCTTGGCCGCCCTGACCTTGGCCGACAGGCGGGAGGGACCATTGCAGGTTGTGGGCCATCCGCTCGGCTGCAGCAGGGCCGGGGCCTGATGAGTGGCTGCGCTATTGAAGAAAACACCGGGGTCCGAGCCTGCGGCTCCTGGTTCCTGGTCCCCCACACCCCCCCCCTCGGGTCCGGGGCTGGGGGAGCAGGCGGGGCCTGGCGCTCACCGTGCCCGTCGCTTGCCTGTCGCTTCAGAGCAGGAAGAGGTGGCGGAAGAGGAGGCAGCGGAGGAGGCAGAGGCGGCAGCGGAGGAGAAGGCTGAGGGCGAGGCTGAGGGAGAGGCGGAGGCCGAGACCAACGCGGACGGTGGGGCTCTGGGAGGGCGCGGGGCGGGGGCAGAGCCCGCAGCCACTCCTGTGGCCGGAAAGACCCACCAGACATGCTGTCCAGCCGTGTGGCTGCGCCTCGGTCTGGGCTGGGGCTCAGCGGTCAGTTGTCCACGGAGGAGCCGGGACTTCGAGCGCATTCTGTGTCGGGTGGAGGCCGGGCCCAGAATGTGTGCACGCATGTGTGCACATGTATGTGAAAGTATGCATGTGGGCTGTGTATGTGGCTGTGCACGTGTGTTCAGATGTATGTGCATATATGTGTGGTTGTGCGCGCGCGTGAGTGCATGTGTGTATGTGCGGAGGTTGTGTACGTGTGTGGCTGTGCACGTATAGCCGTGTGTGCATGTGTGAGTATGCATGACTGTGTGTGCACATGTGTGTGCACGTGTGTGAACAGACAGCTCCGGAACCCCGGAACTCAGCAGGCGCACTGGGTCATGTCCTGTCTGTGGGGGGCTCTCGGTAGGGGGCCCCTGAGCTTAGAACCGGGACTTGGTTGACGTTTCTCCTTCTGTTCAGACGACAGACAAGAGGAGGGAGCGAAAGAGGCTGAAGGTGAGGACGATTGGGCATAGGCGAGAGGTTTGGGGTGGTGAGGGGACCCGGGGTGGTGAGGGGACCCTGCCCGTTGAGGGAGGCGGCTCCCAGGGAGGGGGGAGGGCCCACGGGGACCAGACAGACTTGGTGCCGATGTGGGTTTGGGCTGCTGGGCTCCACCCTCTGCCCCTCAATCCAGAGACACTGCTTGGGGGGGTGCGGGGGGTGGAGGGGGAGACCAGTGTCCTGTCCCCACGGTGGACAGGGCTCCCCGCTGTCACAGCCACACACGAGGAGCTGGAGCTCAGGCTAATCACTCACAGGGTGCGGGTCCGTGGGTGAAACCCCAAGGCCTTGCCGTCCACGTGGTGGTCACTGCTGTGGTCGCAGCCATGCCCCTGGGGGAGGGGCAGCTAGCGGGGACCTAGAATCCCGCCCCCAGGGGCTTCAGGGGGCATGTGGGGTCTGCAGCCCACAGGGCCTTCATTCTCCCCAATGCTCCTGGGACTGGGACGGGGACGGGGGTAGGTAGGGGATGGGGAAATGGAGGCCCTTGGTCCCCACCCCCTCGGGACAGAGCTGGGCCCGGATCCGGGGCCCCCTGACCGCTGGCTGTGCCCGTCTCTCTGCAGATGGCCCCGTCGGGGAGTCCAAACCCAAGCCCAGGTGAGCAGGACGTGCCTGTGGGAGGCCCCGGCCATTTCCCAGTTTCAATTTATGAACCTCAGTTTGGCCTCCCGGCTCAGGGGGACAGACTGACCGGCCCGGCTCCAACTCCCCAGCTCCGTCCTGTGTCCAGCACCTTCCCTCCCCGGCCACCTGCGTGTCCACAGCCCCACGCAGACCTGTGGGCGACGGGGAGACGGAGGACTAGACCCCCAGGCCTTTTTGGTTAATCCTCCCCCGAGGACATTTCTCCACTGATTTTCAGAGAGAGAGGAAGGGAGAGTGAGAGAGAAACATGGAGGTGAGAGAGACACATCGATGGGGCCTCCTGCACCGGTGCTCCCAGCTAGGGCTGAGGATTAAGCCTGCAATCCAAGTATGTGCACTTGGCTGGAATCAAACCCTTGACCCTTTGATCTGTGGGCCTATGCTCTATCCACTGAGCCAAACTTGCTAGGGCATGGACTTGCTTATTCTTGACATTTTATGTAAATAGAATGATAGAATACATGGCCTTTGTGATGGCTTCTTATATTTAGCATACTGTTTTCAAGGTTCATC